ATAGATAGATAGATAGATAGATAGACGCCAAATGTGCACGTGCACCTGTTCATGCACCTTAATAAATGCGAAGCCTTTCTTGGGGAACTGCGACGACGTTGAGCGTATCTATCTATCTATCTATCTATCTATCTATCTATCTATCTATCTATCTATCTATCTATCTATCTATCTGTCTGTCTGTCTGTCTGTCTGTCTGTCTGTCTATCTATCTATCTATCTATCTATCTATCTATCTATCTCTCTAAGTTCCTGGGGAAAGTTTTTTCTTAGTTACGCCGACTGAGGGTTAGGCCTAGTGTCGTTAGATTTGCAACAGAAAGACGCGCGGCTCGCCTTCGGGTGAATGTGCTCTCAGAACTTCCTTTCTTCTATACTGGAGAGATATACGTGTATATGTGATGGGCGATTATTTTTCTTTGAATATAAGTATTCGGTATGAACGACAGGCTATAGTCACATCTGAAGTTAAGTTTTTTGTTGCGTTGTACACTTTGTTACAGTGCCCAAAGTTGATAAGATCACCAAACAAATGTGTTGCGTTGTGTTAATAATTGGTTGCATGGCATTTTTATGCAGTGTGTAACTGCTACATTTATGCTGAATAATTTATTAGCCGTTGAAACGCAAATTTAGGTCATAGTTTTCAGTCATGGTTGAAGGCAAATGATCGAGCCTATTTTCAGTATAATTGACCTGCCTTTGCTAATCTGACCGCATATGTTCTTCATTGGCCGCTTGATTGAGCTACTTTATATATGGGAATTAGCTTTAGCTGCTATGCGTCATGCACTCTTTGTGCCTGTGCAACAAACTTCTGCATAAGATAGCCTTGCTAACGACGAGGGCCTGGGTGCGCTTTTTTGTGGCGAAAATTTCAGGGCATGATAATCACAGGTGCTTTTTAAAAGAAGGAGTCAAGTATTTTTTTCATTGCTGTGATGACACTACGCCTTGACCATTTCAACACGCTTGTTGAGTCTTGTGGCATATAGGTTTCCTTCCTTGTGTACCTCCTCCTTTCTCTTTACACCCAGCACCTCATGCACAATCGAAAGATCTTCTAATAGGTCGTTCGTGCCTGGTTCACTATAGTTTGATTACTATCTGTCGTTGTATATTGTAATTTAGTTTTGTCTCATTGCGTACTCATCCATAAGGTAATGATGGATATAAACATTTCCCCTTTGTCCTATGTTCAGCTGTTTGTAGTTACCCTCGACTTTTATGAACAAGTGTTACAGTAAACAAAGCATGACATCTTTAATAATGAGGTTACTTGCTGTTTTTTATGAATAAAGATAGACGCCGAAACATTTTAGTCTTCTTTATTTTTTGGGGGGACATTTAGGCAAACAAAAAGGTCACTCTATATTAATAAATTATTTGGTCTATAATGTCAGTCTGAAGCACTTGTGGAATTCTTCGAGTGTCTGTCACTCAACTTCGATGAACAGCGACAGGCAACGATAAACAGGCAACGTCGATAAACAATATTGCGAAGCGCCCTGGTAAGCCATTTCGGCCACTTATCGGTGCGCTTTGTAGTTTTTCGTCGATTCAATGCGTCATTGTATGGCAGGTATTCACGTGACGTCATACGCAAGGAGTAATTGCAAGGTGGCCGTATCTATGCTCACTAGATATGCAGGTGATTTTAATCTGTGCGAAAATTCTTCTGGTAAAAGTTAGGACATGCGCTTCCCGGCAGTGGTTTGTTAAGTTTGGGCCTTGCTCACATAAGTTAGCACCTGATTTGAGCATTTCTCATTCTTCTCTTGTTCAATGCTTATGCATAGCTAGGTTTTCACTACCACTATTGATAAGCGAGTTCTTAGGGAACTGCTACTTGCATCTCTGTATTTTGCTTCAATACTCAGTTCTGTGATAATGTTCTATCAACTTAGCACAGATTATGGAGTTAGCACTTGTGCAACATGATTTCTCATTCATTGCCATTTTAGCGGATCTGGTATGTTTGGAAAATACAGCTGTGCACAAATACTTAAGATCAACTTCTGCAGCAAGTCAGCTTATAATAGGTTCGTTTTCTGCTGCTACTCGAGCCATGTCCATTTTGTACAATATTCTACATACACGCTCATTACAGTACGCACAAATCCAGGCAGGTCTGCTGTTCTTTTCCTGCAGTGAAACGGGGTCCCACAACACTTGCGTGTTTTTCATGGTCGTTCTTATAACTTCACTATCGATGTCGCTGTAGCTTGCGCCTTTTCCATCGTTTAACTTTTTTGCAAATATGCATCATTTAGTGCGAATAACTTGCCAGCAGTCACTAGTTCTTCGACCCCAAGTATGTGCCAGAAAGATTGCGCATATTCGGGAGAGAAATAACGACAGAGCTATAAAAGTATGGTAAGTGGAATAGAGGATGGGGAGTGACATAAAAAGCTAAAGAAAACGGACATTACAGTTTGGGTTCTAGATAGTTTATATCCCTACTTTTAAAGGCTTACGGTGGTCGTCGAATACCCCCTTAGAAGAACAGATTTTTGCGACTCCTTAAAAGAAATATTCTGGAATCTCTTCCAAGTATCTCCAGGCCAGACATTACCTGAGGTATACGACCTGCTTCAGTCAGATGAACGGATTTTAAGCACCCGAGAAACAAGCAATAGAAGACGACAATTTTGCTTGCGCCAGCCCTCTTCGAAGCAGTATTGATTCAATTTTGTGCTAGCTGGTAAGAATGGCATGCGTGCCATTTAAAACATGACTACATGCTACACTGATAGCATGCTCTCGGTTGTTCTGCTAGCTCCACACATACTAAAGTTTGTATCACGTGACTTGAATAGTTTATGAAGGTAAATGACACGTCCAAACATGTCAATCATGACATGCTCGTCACGTAAAACATAACTACATGCTACGCTCATAACATGCTCGTGGCTGTTTCGCTATGATGATATGTGGGGTTTAACGTCCCAAAACCACCATATGACATATGAGAGACGCCGTAGTGGAGGGCTCCGGAAATTTTGACCACCTGGGGTTCTTTAACGTGCACCCAAATCTGAGCACACGGGCCTACAACATTTCCGCCTCCATCGGAAATGCAGCCGCCGCAGCCGGGATTCGAACCCGCGACCTGCGGGTCAGCAGCCGAGTACCTTACCACTAGACAATCGCGGCGGGGCGCTGTTTCGCTAGCTTCACATATACCAAATTGGGTATTTGGAGACGTGAATGAATGAGGAACACAAATGCATGGCGCGAAACATAACAATCATGAAACGTCAGTCATTTACGTTATAATTTACGTGTTCCTCATAATTTTGCGATGATTTTGAATTCGTAAATCAACGTTCCTCATGCATGCATCACATATCATTGATTGCCACTGTACGTGGGATCTGTCATTATTGTGCACTGGTGGCCGCGCCCGTGACTCGCTCACTAGATTTCGTGCCGACCGGTCGTGCCCCCCATGATCTCCGACGACAGCACAACTCTGGCCTACTGGGCTCGCCCTACGTCATCTCCTGACGCCGACAAGAGCTCTCGCCGAATGGTGCCCCGTCCTCGGACTCCTGCGACGAAGTCCATATTTCCTATCTTTTCCTTACTTTCGTCGTTCGCTGCCCCTTGCACCTCGCTCTCTCCTTCTGTCGCAAAACGAGCGCTCAAAAAGGGCGCGCCGCCAATTTCTCGCGACGAAACGCCGAAGTCACGCAGCGAGGTCAAGGATAAAATAAAAAAAACAAACATCCAAAGACTTCCCAGGCGCGCGTCTCTCTCCCTCGGAAGCGTAGGTTCGCCGACGAAACCTCCTCGCATCGGCGGCCGAGCAAGCGCTAGAATTTTCTCGATGGAAAGGGGCGTGGTGATGCCGGGTTGAGTCATCCGTTGCGGACGGCCCCCGTATCGTCTCGCCCTTTCCCCCAGCCTTCGCTGCGCATCACGCCTGACGAAATGATGAGATTTTATGGAATCGCGCATGGAAGGTATTTAATCGAGCAGCCGAGATGAGAGATCAGGAGAAGACGAAGTTAGCGCCAGAGCGCGTAGGGTATGGCGAAGGTTTTGTCCGTAGAGACAAAGCAGGAGAAAAAGAGGATTCCCACCTGAGGGGTGACGACTCGAGCTACAGGCAAGAGTGTGCGTCTACCGCTATCGAGCGAAGACGCGTGGCAACAGCTGTGAGTGTGAAGCCGACGTGTTTCCGGCGAAGAAGTTTGAAGCTTGGAGAGCGGCCAAGCGAAGACGCGAGGTTTCCTGGAAGAGAAACTTCGGGGGCAGCGGAACGACAACAACGCTGGACTTTGAGTGAGTGATTCTCGGAAGAGTATCATCCAGACTTTTGTTCTAAGAACTTTGGACTGAATAGGTTTTCTATCTCTTTAGTCTTTAAGTGTCTTGGTTGTTCAATGCATGCGACTGCACTGTACTGCGTATTGTTGTTTGTGTCTGTTGTTTCGAGTGTGGCTGATTGTACTCTGTAGTACGTTGTTTGATTGGTGACATATTGTATGCAACTATTGTGGAGTGTGCATACTTGTGTATTGTTTTTGATCTGCCATTATTGGGAATATATATTTGTTTTCTTTATCAACTCTCGGCTTTGACTTGTTCTTTGGGCCACAGCCAGCGTCCGCTGGCGCGCCGAAAGGACCACTTCTAAATTGTCTACGCTTTCGTGGTGCGGTTCGGGGGGCCGCTACTTCGGCCCTTGGAATTAGCCCGGCGATCGCCTCCCGAATGAACGCGACCGGTGACACCTTCCTCTCTCTCTCTCTCTCTCTCTCTACTTTTTACCTTTTAATCCTATCCTTTTAAACCCTCTTTTACTTACTCTCCCCTCGCGAGCCACTGTTGAGGTGCTCTCCCCCCGAGAGACAGTAACAGGGCTCACTTTTCTCTTCTTTTCATTTAAAACCACTTCTACCCCCGCACCTGGCAGTGTCACAGCACTCCAGCGCGGGGCTCTGGCGCGCCTTCTACACAGTCAGCGATCACGATGACCACACTGTACTCACCCTGCATACGAAGAATTCTTGTTTGCATATCTGCAATATATTCGCACAACCGCTCCACAGTAGAGCTGATAAGCGTCGCAGTCATCCCACAGAGTCTGCAGAAAATGAGAAAAAGGTACGTGCTGAATTAGGCTAGGCAACGCTTGTGAACTTTGCTATCGAGATGACTTCGTGAGGACTAATTTTAAAAGACCAACTGATGTCGCCACAGTGGTTGTGTAGAATATAATCAACATAACAAGAAAAGGAATACTCTGAGAAACTAAGGTAACTTCAGGCTCCATCTGCCACGTTTACTGTACAGCAAGCCATGATTCAAGCAACTGTACAATAAACATAATTTTACGCACCTTCGATGCCTCCTCTATGGCTTGCTATGCGGTCGTCTTGGTTGTTAGATAACGTATTAGCATTTACTGATTATCATTGTATGCATCATCACTAGCCTGACTATGTCCAATGCAGAACAAACGCCTCTTCTATATGCCGCCAATCAACCCCGTCTTGTGCTTTCTGCTGCCATGATATACCTCATAGCTTTTTAATCTGATCGGCCCACCTAACTCTCTGTCTGCGCTTGGTGCATTCGCCTTCTCTGGGAATTCAGTCGGTTATCCTAATGAACAGCGGTTATCCTGCTTACGAGCTACGTGCCCAGCCCATGTCCATTTCTTCCTAATTTCTGCAACAACATTCTTAACCCTGGTTTGTTTCCTTACTCTTAGAGTTTCCCAATATACACTAGAGGAAACTCTGGCACTCGTATCTATGGAGCTGCAACTCATGGCGCTTCAGCGAGCATGGGAATGATAGGTAGTACACACATTTGTCTAATTTTCGTACTTCGTAAAAACACGTAGCCTCCTGGCTCCGTGTTTTTTCGTGTGACTTGCAGCTGCTTCTTCACGAAAAAAAATCGCAAATGTTCAACGTTTGCGCTTCACAACCTTATTTTTTTAGGCTTAGGATCTTGTATTGGGTCACAAAGTTCAAAAGGATTCGTTCTTGCCTTCAAAACAAAACCTTGAGCAGCAATAAACGAAGCCGCAAGTACGATTCACCGCCCGCAAGTACGAAGACTAGGCAAATGTGTGTACTACCCATCATTCCAATGGTCGCTGAACAATCATAGCGCCAGAGTCCTTTCTAGTTAATTTTAGAAAACTCCATGCCCTTGCCCACTCTGCTCTCTTCTTGTCTCTCGAAGTTACACTTATCGTTTTCCTTTCCGTTGCTCGCTGCCTCGTCCTCGATTGAAGCTCAACCCTCTTTGTAAGCATCCAGCCTTCTGCTCCGTGGGTACGTACCAGCAAGATGCTGTTCTTATAGGACTTCCTCTTAAAGATTAGTGGCAGACCGCCCTTCATAACTCGAGAGTTCTTGCCGAAATTGATCCACCCTATTGTTATTCTTCTAGTTACTTCAATCTCGTGGTTCAGCTCCGAGGTGTTCGTGGTTCGCCACTTGTCCTAAGTATACGTGCTCCTTCACATTTTTGTGCAATGCTACCTATCTTGAAGCGCAGTTCTCTTCCGAGGTTGTTGTACATTACATTCGTTCTATAAAGACTAAATTTAAGGCCTAGCATTCTGCTCTTCTTGTCTAATCAATAATCATCAATTGCAGTTCATCTTTTCAGTACTCAGCTGTGTATTGTCATCAGAGAAGCGCAGGTGACTGAGTGTTCTCCATTAACTCGTACCTGTTTGTTTTACTGATACGTACTGTGTAGTTTCTTTTGTTTGGCCAATCTGTAGTCAACTGAGACACGCTATAGTTTATTGTGCCGCCATCTTTTATCCATGTGCTCCGCTATTCGAGGCCACCTTCTGCAATGATGTGAGACCAGCGACATGAATATTTAGGCGTATGTCACGGACTGAAAGGTCGAGCACCAACACCCTAATGTATGTGCCTCGGGACGTACGACAACTTTATTCTGCCACATCAGCAGCGCGTATACGACATTTTGATCAGTAGCCAATTGTGTGGCCGATGCGCTCCAATGTTACGGCGATCGGCTTCGTTTCCGTGGTCGACGAGGACGGTGTGTAAGAACGAAATAGCTTCATTAGGCGCTCAAGCGTCCTAAAAATGCGTTTCGACCATATCCGCGCCAGCACATTTGCGACGCTGGCTGTTTAGTTCCGCTGCAATTAAAATAAACGCTATTGCTGACTCTAAGAGGTCTCTGTCATCAACGCTACCAGTGAATCATGCTTACATTTTTGCCAGCATTTTACGTTTCAGCTCTCCAGCCACTGTAAGCTCATACCACGGATTTCAGGTTATATTGATATTCGTTGTAGCATCAAGCAATATTATTGCCGAGCTATTCCGCAGTACTGGTTCCTTCCATCAAATAACGATATGGTGGATGGCCGTTCATCAGCGGCTGAAGAATGTCCTTTGGAGGAGAAGAAATCATGAGCAGTGGTCCAACAAGTGCTCGTTCTCAGCTTCGTTCGCACTTTTCAGCCGTGACCTCGGTTGCCTACTATGTTAACGAATGTGATGCTGTGCCACAGAGTCCGTTCGAGAGATATTTCTATTTCGAATTGAAAAAATTAATAATAATGTGTTCCCACTAATACAGTGTTGATAGAGGAGTACCCAAGAAAAGGTACTCGTCGAGTAGCTGCAGTCTTACATCCCAGTTACATCACGCAGAGGTAGCGCTGCCGATCGAACACATAAAATAGTAACAATAACATACTGTATTCACATAAATTACAAGCATATACATATACTAGAGTAATTTTAAATGAACGCAGTTTGTGTTATATACACCCTTGATATAGCAATAGGCATAGACAAGCAAGTGCTACAAACAAACTGTACAATGTGGACGAAGTTAGGTTATTGGACATAGGATTGCATAAGAATATTTAAACATGTCTTCCGATATAGCAAGCATGGAACATAAGCAATTAGCAATTACCATTATAAATAAATAGCGCAATCTCAGAACACCGCTAATTTTAGTTGTGCTGTTCGCTATCCGCTTTCATCCGATTGTAACATTCCGCAAGTAATTTTTGTTCCAGCTCAAGTACCAAAGTGAGGTCAGACCATGTACTACCCTTTACACGGTAGCAGACCCGGCATGCCTGGTGAGCCCACAATAGCCTAGCTACTACGCAATTTACTTAAATATTTTCAGTGTATCTTGTGACGCTTGGGCTCAGTGATCAAAGTAAATCCAGCGAAACCTTGCTATTGGCTGACTCCTTGGTGGACAATTGAGGTCCAGAGGGCATGGAACGTTGGCATAGTTGAAATAAAGAAGAGGAAATGGACATGGGCCGGGCATGTAACGCGTAGACAGAATAAGTGCTGGTCATTAAGGGTAACTAACTGGATTCCCAGAGAAGGCAAGCGGCTTAGCGGGAGACAGAAGGTTAGGTGGGGAGATGAAATTAAGAGGTTTGTGGGTGTATATTTGCAAAAGCAAGCACAGGATCAGGTTAACTGGCGGAACATGGGAGAGGCCTTTGTCTTGCAGTGGACGTAGTTGGGCTGATGATGATGATGATGGTGGAAAATTGAGGTCCTGAGGGCATGGAATGTTGGCACATTTTTTCGCGTGTAGTGAAGCACTTTTAGGTATTACAATATACTCACGTTCGAGAAAATTGTTGAAGCGTCATTTTCAAAAAGTGCTACCTGCAGTATATTCGCAGTGTTGTAGTCTTTTCTATGAAAGAATATATGGGAATCTACTCCACTCCAGTCCGTGTTGGTATATGTACCAAACTCTTGTCCGTTCACGTAGCCCTGAAAAGGAAAAGAAGATCAGGCACTTTGTTTTTGCCTCTGTATACGTACCGCTTAAAACCTGAATGTGGTGGCTTGCTGTAACTTCCGGCAAGTTCTGAGAACCAGCAATAGCCGAAAATCAAGTGATTTCAAAAAAAAAACCATGCGATTTCAAATACACAGCACTTTCTTCTTGTTGCTATTCTGGATAAACTGCGATTGTCGCTACTTCAGTCTTAAAAAAACGAAGCTGCTAGCAACCGGGGTGCAAGACAGAAACTCACCGCTGAGCTGATATTCGGCCTGCTGAAAATTTGCTACTAACTGCAAGCCTTTGCTATTCGCAATGGCCACGGCCCATTGCTGGTAGGCCGGGCTATCTAAGATGGCTGCGTAAGGACGATCAACCCGTGAACTCGCATAAGTACTTTCCGTGCTGTCCGTGCCTCTTTTACCTAATCAACCGACAAGCTGAAACACAAGCCGCCTAGTTCCATTTCTGAAGCCAGGCAAGTCACCGTTGGAGCTCTCATCTTATCGACCGATCGCATTGGCCAGTTGTGTAGGCAAAGTTAGGGATAGGATGATCTTGGGACGGCGGCGATGGCGTAGTGGTTAGAGCATCCGCCTCGCATGCAAGAGGTCCGTGGTTCAAATCCCGGTACCGCGCAGTTCCCAACCGGATTAAAAAAAAAATCCGCGTGTTGATGGAACTGCATTAAGAGGCCTGGGGTGCGGCCTCACCGGCAAACACCGCCGAGAACGCACTCCCTCACCAGAGAAGGATTGGCCACCCTGGTGCAGTATCTGGCCACTACCTCCCACATGCTTACGTCAAATAACTCATGGCACTCAGTCCCCAGCAGCTGCGAAGCAACTGACCATGGCGGCGGTCAGATCTGCAACGCAGCAGAGGGTGCTAAGAATCTCTGGATCCGGACAGGCCGCCATTGGAACCTGAACTTGGCAACGTTTAATGCTAGAACCTTATCTAGTGAGGGAAGTCTAGCTGTACTATTCGAGGAGCTAGAGGGTGTTAAATGGGATATAATAGGGCTCAGTGAGGTTAGGAGGACAGATGAGGCCTATACGGTGCTACAGAATGGGCACGTCCTTTGCTACAGGGGCTTGGCAGACAGAAGAGAGCTGGGAGTGGGGTTCCTAATTCACAGAAACATAGCTGGAAACATAGAGGAATACTATAACATTAATGAAAGGGTGGTAGGTATCGTAATTAAACTGAATAAAAGATACAAGATGAAGGTAGTACAGGCTTACGCGCCTACATCCAGCCATGATGACGCTTCAGTTGAAAGCTTCTATGAAGACGTGGAATCGGCAATGAGTAAGGTAAAAACACAGTATACTATAGTGATGGGCGACTTTAATGCAAAGGTAGGGAAGAAGCAGGCTGGAGACCAGGCAGTAGGAGATTATGGCATCGGTACTAGAAACGCCAGAGGAGAGCTACTAGTAGAATTCGCAGAACGCAATAATTTACGGATTTTGAATACCTTCTACCGAAAACGAGAAAACCGCAAGTGGACATGGAGGAGCCCTAATGGCGAAATTAAGAACGAAATAGACTTTATAATGAGTGCACAACCTGGAATCGTGCAGGATGTGGAAGTGATTGGCAAGGTACGATGCAGTGACCATAGAATAGTACGGTCTCGAATTCGCCTAGACTTGAAGAAGGAACGACAGAAACTGATACGCAAGAAGCCAATCAATCAGCTAGCACTGAGAGGGAAAGTACAGGAATTCAGAGTGTCGCTGCAGAACAGGTACTCGGCTCTTAGTGAGGAAACGAACCTTAGCGTAGATACAATGAATGATAATCTAACGAGTATCATTAGGGAGTGTGCAGTGGAAGTTGGAGGCAGGGTAGTTAGACAAGACACTGGCAAGCTTTCCCAGGAAACGAAGAACCTAATTAAGAAGCGTCAAATCATGAAAGTCTCAAGTACAAGAGATGAAATAGAACTGGCAGAGCTTTCGAAGTTGATTAATAGACGTAAGGTATGCGATGTAAGAAGGTATAACATGGAGAGAATTGAACACGCTCTCAAAAAAAAACGGAGGAAGTATCAAAGCATTGAAGAGGAAACTTGGGATAGGCCAAACTCGGATGTATGCACTAAGGGACAAAGAAGGCAAAAGAACTACCAATATGGATAGGATAGTTAAAATAGCAGAGGAGTTTTACAGAGATCTGTACAGTAGCCGTGACAACCACGGCCTTAATACTATAAGAACTAGCAGTAACCCAGATTACACCCCACCAGTAATGATAGAAGAAGTCAGGAAAGCTTTGGAGAGCATGCAAAGGGGCAAAGCTGCTGGTGAGGATCAGGTAACATCAGATCTGCTGAAAGATGGAGGACAGATTGTGTTAGAAAAACTAGCCACCCTGTTTACGAGGTGTCTCCTGACGGGAAGAGTACCAGAGTCTTGGAAGAACGCTAACATCATCTTAATACATAAGAAAGGAGATGACAAGGACTTGAAGAATTACAGGCCGATCAGCTTGCTCTCTGTAGTATACAAGCTATCTACAAAGGTAATTGCTAACAGAGTAAAGAAAACATTAGAATTCAATCAACCAAAGGAACAAGCAGGATTTCGAACAGGCTACTCAACAATTGATCACATTCATACTATCAATCAGGTAATAGAGAAATGCTCAGAGTATAACCAACTCCTATACATAGCCTTCATAGATTACGAGAAAGCGTTTGATTCAGTAGAAATATCAGCCGTCATGCAAACACTGCGGAATCAGGGCGTAGATGAAGTATATATAAACATTCTGGAAGAAATCTACAGGGGATCAACTGCTACCATAATGCTTCATAAAGAAAGCAACAGAATACCAATCAAGAAGGGTGTAAGGCAGGGGGACACAATTTCCCCAATGCTATTTACCGCGTGCTTACAGGAGGTTTTCAGAAGCCAGAATGGGAACAGTTAGGGATAAGAGTCAATGGAGAATACCTTAGTAACCTGCGCTTCGCCGATGACATTGCATTGCTGAGTAACTCGGGGGACGAATTGCAACTCATGATTACGGAGCTAGACAAGAAGAGCAGAAAGGTGGGTCTTAAAATTAATCTGCAGAAAACGAAAGTAATGTACAACAACCTCGGCAAGGAGCAGGACTTCGAGATAGGTAATAGTGCACTTGAAGTTGTAAAAGACTATGTCTACTTAGGGCAGGTAATAACCGCAGAGCCGAACCACGAGACTGAAGTAACTAGAAGAATAAGAATGGGGTGGAGCACATTTGGCAAGCACTCTCAAATTATGACAGGTAGTTTGCCACTATCCCTCAAGAGGAAGGTATATAACAGCTGTATCTTGCCGGTACTCAGCTACGGAGCAGAAACCTGGAGACTTACAAAGAGGGTTCAGCTTAAATTGAGGACGACGCAGCGAGCAATGGAAAGAAAAATGGTAGGTGTAACCTTAAGAGACAAGAAGAGAGCAGAGTGGATTAGAGAACAAACGGGGGTTAAGGATATCATAGCTGAAATCAAGAAGAAGAAATGGACATGGGCAGGGCATGTAGCGCGTAGACAGGATAACCGCTGGTCATTAAGGGTAACTGACTGGATTCCCAGAGAAGGGAAGCGGGTTAGGGGGAGACAGAAGGTTAGGTGGGCAGATGAGATTAAGAAGTTTGCGGGTATAAATTGGCAGCAGCAAGCACAGGACCGGGTTAACTGGCGGAACATGGGAGAGGCCTTTGTCCTGCAGTGGACGTAGTCAGGCTGATGATGATGATCTTGGGACGCGTGTAGTGGTACTTGGAGTGCAACAACATCTACCCAGGTGCTATGACAGGATTTCGCCGTGGTCGATCATCGATTGACAACGTAGTCGACCTGGTCACTTGCGTCTAACACGAGAAAGGCCGTGAGCGTCTCTGAGCATGTTTGTTCATAGACGTCAAAGGGGTGTATGACAACGATACGCATGAAGCTGTTTTCACCGCTCTCGAAGATATAGGAGTAGGTGGCCGGATTAATCACTGGATACGTAGTTATTTGTCAATGCAATTTTTCTTTGTGAGCACTGAAAACGGTCAAATCTCTCCACATTACAGCCACCATGGTGTCCCCCAGTGGGGCGTACTCAGCCCTGTGCTCTTAAATTTTACGCTAATTGCTCTCACTGAGCATCTTTCAAATAAAGTTAGTCTATCAATGTACGCAGTTGATATCTGCGTTTGGGCATCGGCTTTAACACGCGTGCAGTTGCAAATGAGAATTCAAAAAGCTACCACTGAAGCTTTACGTTACCTCCAAAATCGAGGCTTGGAAATTTCTTCCGGGAAATATACCCTCGTAGCTATTACTCAAAAGCCTATGAATAAGTACACCATAAGCATCAATGGTCAAACTGTACCACACGTTCGATCGCACAAGTTTTGGGGCGTTATAAGTGACAGGAACTTATCATGGAGCGATGACGTTTCATACTTGAATAAACGGTTAATAGGCATCTGTAATATACTGAAATTCTTTGCAGGGAAGACTTGGGGAATATCTCCCAATGCAATGCTACAGCTGTGCAGGGTACTTTTTCTCTGTTTCCTGCGGTACAGCTTACCGGCATTGACCAATGCAAGCAAAAAAAAAAGCCTACGAACGTTACTGAGTTTTCAGTTCAGGCACTCCGGATTTGCCTCGGCTTGCCTCGTAGTGCGCCAACAATGGCTATTATAGCAATCACCGGTGACCCCTTCATCACGACACATATCGACTCAGGACACATTTAAGGCATACTGCTCGAACACCCTGCCACCACTTAGTCACTTTACCAGCAGACAGACCACGTTTGTCATTGTGCCAAGCGGTAACCGAATATCGCTATTCTTTGCCAACATGCTTCACACGCGCCGCCAGGCCTTCGACTCCTTCTTGGTGCCTGACTCAGGCTAAGATCAGACTAACTATACCTGGCATCCATAAAAAAGCAGATATGTCGTCCCCTGCTCTTAAGCAGCTTGCTCT